GTATCTCCTCTTCCCAAATTTTCCATTTTTTTTACTGTAGAATTACTACTATATATATATAGTAGTAGTAATTCTACAGTAAAAAAAATGGAAAATTTGGGAAGAGGAGATATATACTTACTACTATATATAGTAGTAATTCTACAGTAAAAAAAAATGGAAAATTTGGGAAGAGGAGATACGATTATTCGAGCCTTGCAGCTCGTTTTTACAGTTGTTGACAATCGGTAATTACAAAAATGAGCCGCAAAATTCGCCGCAATCGAATAATCGTATCTCCTCTTCCCAGATTGTCCATTTTTGTGCACAATCGAAGCGCGAATTAGGGAGAATTTACTGTATCCCCATAGTCTAACAACTAAAGTTTACCTATAGTATAAATGACGTACACAAACAGTCCGCGACAAGAAAACATAAGAAGAATTTGTCGAAAGGAGGATAGATACATAAACCATGGTGTAAATGGCCACTTGAATATGGCTATCGAGAGGGGAGATGCGTGTAAATGGGGCGGGCTTCGTGACGAAGCCGTCTGATTTAGGATCGCCGTGAAGAGCGGTAGGTAGATCAGGTAAACATTTACCGAGGGAAGTTCTTCTAATAAATATTCAGTGACGGGGAGAATACGGTGGGGCAAAAGCAACAAACGTTGACATCGGTCATTACCCTTCCGACAAATTCGCTTCTCGAGCGAACTAGTTTAACCCTCGACCGAACTGCCAATTACCGCCAGTTATTGATGCAGCAAATATTGCATATTTCGATATTGACGAGTGCAAGTAAATTTACGTTGAAACATTGCAAATTTGATGAGGTAATAGAGGATCGCATGAGTCTTTAAACGATTACATTGGCGTAGGTTGACGATAATCCGGTTACGGGTTGAGAGAGTAGGTCGCGGATGTAACGATACAAAAGGTGAGTTGGTTGAATCATGTCCGACGATAAAATTGTGTAACTCTGTATACGATTGCAATCGGAAATTAAAAACACAATAGGATCTCGTGCAACTCGATAGACCTGTAACGCGAACTATTCAATTTCGACACTGAAATGATCAATAACTGTTGGCACCTGTCCTCTTGCAATAAAACAGTATATTTTTCCTTTCATTGGCAAATAAAAACCTTTCCGCAACACGAAATCGAACTGCATTGTACTGACTATCGTACAATGTACCGTGTGATATTCTTTTTAATTAAAATATCAACTACTGTGCACGGAATACCGGTCGTTCCGTGTCGATATTTGTTATACTGTTCGAGTACATCAAATGCGCTTTGAACTTTGAATCCCCGAAACTCGGAAAGTTTAAACAATATCGGGAAACGAATTATACGTCGGAAGACGCAATCCTCCGATCGCAATGTTAACAAAGCCACTCTCGGTCTGTGATCGAGCACGAAGCAACCGAAATTCCGGTAAATAATTCCAGACGGCCCGGCTCGACCCGACCCGACCCGGTCAGGTTAGAAACTCAGTTAAGTCGATTGATTGCTCCGACTGCAGAGGTCAGCGAACACACAACCGACCGGTCTCAATTTTTCCTCGATTTTCCGCGGGAAATCCGAGACTTCGGCTAACGATGCCGGACCCGATCGCGTCCCGCCGATTTTTCTCTGGAAAAACACTTGTCTTCTCCTCGAATTAAAAGTCTTTCGCCGAGGCACGCGGAGTTCGCGAACTCCGGGAGCGATTTTTTCGTCGTTTTGCTCAATTAGATCGGAACCGAGAATCGGGAACCGTCTCGAAAAATCGAGTCGGAACTGATCTAATTTGTCGACAATTCGCGACGCGAGCAACTTCCGATCAAGCGGACGCACGGAGTGGTCCGGATCAAAGAGTTTAATGACATTTCGATCGAACTTTCCCCCTGAAAAATTTTACTGAAGATTGCCGAGAAACAATCGCTTCCCGATTCGGAATGTTTATATTAACCCTTTGCACTCGAGGGCTCCGGAGCGGAGCCATTTAAAATTTGTCTTCAAACTCGAGGGCTCCGCTACGGAGACAATGCAAATAATTTTCAGTTTTTAACATAAGAACAAAAACAAATCGTAAAAATTAGTTATAGGATGTTTCGCTGTTGGTGATAAATGACGTTTGTATCCATAAACAATTAAAAAAATAATAACATACAACGATGACTTTTCTTTTAATGCTTATATCATGAACTTACGTGTGAATATGATCTTTTCACTAAAATGGCTTCGAGTTGCTGGTAATATGACTCAAAAAAAAACTTCGAGTGCAAAGGGTTAATTTCGTCGATTTAATTGATTGTTAGAGACGACGGTGAAATTCCTAAAAGCGCGAACTATTGTCTTTGCGATAGATAATAAACGTTGTTTACTGAGATCGGCAGTCCGAAAATTCTAGCACTCCAAATCATTAACAAAATATTGCAGACCTCTATCTACCCTGTCAGCAATGTTCCCAAGAAATTGACAGGTCTTTTTTCGACTTCCCAACTCTGTCCAAATGAAACAATCGCATCGGTCGACTAATGACTATGATTAAACGAGTGCAGAGCGGCATCGTATCGAAGATGCTCGCGAAAGGTTAACACGTTCCGTGCCGAGCTTTTTTTACTCGAATCTTCACACTTTGATATTTTACTAAAACTTGATGTATTACGTGCAATTATTAATTCTCGTACACGTAACAACGTAACAAAAACTTATCAACGCCCATTCTTGCGGTGGAAATTGATTCTTCGGTTCTAAATTTCTTGTAAACAATTTGTTCAGTTCACTAAGTAAACATGCAAGCGTGTACCATCGATGGTANCGGGAAATCCGAGACTTCGGCTAACGATGCCGGACCCGATCGCGTCCCGCCGATTTTTCTCTGGAAAAACACTTGTCTTCTCCTCGAATTAAAAGTCTTTCGCCGAGGCACGCGGAGTTCGCGAACTCCGGGAGCGATTTTTTCGTCGTTTTGCTCAATTAGATCGGAACCGAGAATCGGGAACCGTCTCGAAAAATCGAGTCGGAACTGATCTAATTTGTCGACAATTCGCGACGCGAGCAACTTCCGATCAAGCGGACGCACGGAGTGGTCCGGATCAAAGAGTTTAATGACATTTCGATCGAACTTTCCCCCTGAAAAATTTTACTGAAGATTGCCGAGAAACAATCGCTTCCCGATTCGGAATGTTTATATTAACCCTTTGCACTCGAGGGCTCCGGAGCGGAGCCATTTAAAATTTGTCTTCAAACTCGAGGGCTCCGCTACGGAGACA